TTTTTTCATATTTTTTTTACATTGAGTATATACACTGAATATATGCACTGGATATATACGTTTGCCTAGGCATACAAATACATACAGTGCAAACACATATTTATTTTTATATTTATGGGTAATTTCATCTGTTAAAATCATGTAAACCCAAGGATTAGGAATTAAAGTGACACTAAACTCAGGATTTCAATCTTAAAAATGCATTCAAGTACCTTAATTATTAACAACATGTATCTTATTTGTGTGTCACTCGGCTGTAGATCCTCAAATCATCTCTGAATTGGTGCTGGCACTGTCCTTCCTTCTGGAGGGTGGCTACTTTTGTTTCCCATGGTCCCTGTGCGTGTTGTAAAGTAGCCACTGCTCCAAGCTTGCTCCTGTGATGGACTACAATCTCATGTTTAGTTTAATAATTTGTATTGAGCTTGTAGTCTATCACAGGAGCGAGCTTGGAGTGGTGACTAATTTACAACACACACAGGGACCATGGGGAACAAAGTAGCCACCCTCCAGAAGGAAGGACAGTGTCAGCACCAATTCAGAGATGATTTGAGGATCTATAGCTGAGTGATACACAAATAAGATAAATTTCTGTTAATAGTTAAGGTACTTGAATGCATTTTTGAGATGTAACTCCTGAGTTTAGTGTCACTTTACACTTTCACATATAAAAGTCAATCAGTGGCCCTTTAAAAATGAAAGGAAACATACAGGAACAAATCACCTGCAGTTTTCAGATCCCTGTGCTGTACAACCTCAAACTCTCAGAGGGGAATGTATCACAACTGGAATATGCAGAATCTGGAGCAATTCCACATGGCAACCAATCAGCTTCCATCTTTCATTTTCAAAGCATAACTGAACATACTGAAGATAGAAGCTGATTGGTTACTATGGAAAACTGCTCCAGATTCTGTCTGCTCTCGTTTTGATAATTTTTCTTTTCAGCATTCAATAAACACTGCACTAAGTCCTCCACTTGTCATTGATATCTATGCATCTTTTATTGCATCCCCTCCCATCATTTATGGAAACTGTTCAAGCACTGTCTTTCCTGTCTAGTGTGATCTCCCTTTCTTATCTCTCAGGGTTAGAAGGAAAACAGCTTGTTTATTTGCTGCCCTGTTACAGGAAGAAAGTGATTATAAGATACCAGTCATTTCATACACTATTCATTATTTCTCGTTCCTCCCATCAGACATAGTTGCATAGTTACATAGTATTTGACGTTGAAAAAACACACAGGTCCATCAAGTTGAACCTTTGTGTGTGAGTGTGTGTGCGAGTGTGTGTTGTGCGTGTGTGTATATAAGAGTGCCTGTGTGGTCTAGTATTTAAGTGTATTAAAGTATTTAAGTATTGTATTACCCAAACAGTGAATGTAGTTGATTGGCTGCAGTCACTAATGAGTTGAGAATTTGTTGACTGGCTCCTCTGACAAAAGTCCGCTGAGTCTTGACCGACCGAGGACTTGACCGAAATTGAAACAGTGTGTAGCCAGCTGAACTCCCTCTGCTGGAAAGCCTGAACACAATGACATAGTGTATATCATGTTCTACCATGAATGGAAGCTTACCAGACTATTTTTGGTTTCTTGTGATATCACATGCAGCAGGCTTCTAAACCACAGTTTCTATAGAACACAGACCTCTTTGTAATAGTGCTATGTGTAATATTAGCCCTTAGGATTAAAAAAAACAACCATGACAGGCCAATGTGTCAGTAATAAGGTGAGGTGTCTGATAATATCTGTTTATTCTAACATTATGACAAAGGGAAGTGTTTAAAAGTGGCTAGAATGAATTAGAGAGGGGAAGGACTCTGGTTTATTGCCCCGATTTTCACACACTTTCTGCCCCTGTAGCCATCTGAACATTGTTATGAGCTAGACTCCTAATCTCTCCTGTTCGGGGTACATTGCCCATGTGTTCTTCTAGAGAATTTAGTAGGGCCAGGCAACAGTAAGACTGCAGTTATAATGGGATAGTGTACTCCATAGAGGGGAAAAAGGATTTCAAAGAGCAATACCCCGGTGGTAAGTGAGAGAGGTAGAAATGGGCAATATTCCCAACAGTGACAGAGACCATAGTATAAACCTTGGAAAGGATCACACCCTTGCTCTTTGACATAATTGAAACACGAACAAATTAACAATGTTGACTGGAGGTTCACTTTAATGCAATGGTGCAAATAGTAGTGGTATGTACTAATTTTTAGGCAGGAAACGGCTTCCATTAGCCTGTCCACTGTAAAAAAATTAACTGGGATAATTGAAATACTACACACTGTGCAGCATGCAATAACCAAGTCTTAGGAAAAGCCCATGTGTGGCTTTATGATATACAGTACATCTTGCAAATAGTCCTTCCTAATATGGAAGAAAAAAAAAAACAGTCACACTCTTACATGATATTTTTTTTTTCCTCTGCAGATCTGGAATCTGATGACCCTTCCTTATGTAATGATGTGACCACAGACACATTGACTCTGAATCCACCTTCTAGCAGTACCGCTGGAGGAGCAGGTGGTGGAGTGGGTTGTATGACAAGAGCAGGCATGCATTCACCACCTCCAAGACGTGCCTCAGATAATGACCTAAATGGGACATTTATCAGCCAACCATGCCGGTTTATTCCTCTTGGTGGATCACGTTTCCTTGAATGTCCAAGTATACGTATTACAAGTGATTCACCTTCAAACAGTGATGGAGAACAAGAAGAGTCAAGTAGGAATGATATTTGGGATGAGAAACCTCACCGTGATCAGTTGTTTCTCCCACCAGATCCATTTGGTTATCGGGACTCTTTTCTAAGCCCTAGTCCAGCAAGCAGCCATTCTTCATGGAGTTTTCTTTCCTCTGAGGCTTCTTCTTGTGACTCTCTCGGACAAATGTGTGAAGAAGTAGAAAGAGAGCTCAATGAAGCAGCCTCACGATTTACACTTGCTTCTCCACTAGGCTCCCCAAGAGGGTCACCAAAACCTTGGGGTGGTCACAATGATGAATTTTGGACAACTGTTCCCATTTCAGGTGCTCCTCCTTCACCCCGGGAAGAATTACTATCACCCTACCATTCAGGCCAGGTTTCAAGACCTACATCTCCTTGTGGTAAAAGGAGGTATTCAAACTCAAATGATGAAGGTGTTCGTCAAACCAGCTCCCCTTCCCCATCGCATTCACGCCGAGGAAGCCTAGGGGATGAGAACCTCTCCGCAGAAACAGAAGCTTCCCCCAAGCCCACTGATCAGAGCCAACAGGCAATGTCAACCTCTCTGGAGAGAGGCGATAACATTCCACAGAAGGCCAGAAGAACCTCAGCAGAGCAGACGGTGGCCCCTGTTAGGCCTGAGGAGTCCACGAGTCCTGGAAAAACCTTTTCTTCAGGTTCATCTGTAGGTGTAAATGATGAGAGTACTGGAATGTTCCCTCAAAACAGAAAAGATAATGTGGGGATGGATTATCTAGCTGTTCCGTCAGCATTGGCCTGGTCCAAAGCAAGAGTTGGAGGACAGAGTCCAATATTCAGGTAAATATTTCTTCTGTTTAAAATTAACCTGAATTTCCATATTTGTATTTCTACTACATACAGCACATGCTCATGCATACAAAAATCTGATTGTAAACTGTTCAAAGAAAGAAATAACTGAACATGATATCGAAGAAATATGTTTAATTATATTTTATTTAATTTATATTTAAGCCACTGTTGGGCTTAGGGTGATGATAATGTGTTTAAGTCTACATTAACATTTTCCAGTTTTGCCTATACTAGGCAATAGAACCCACGGTCAAATTGTTATTGTTGCCTGTGCCCCACATGAGGAAAACTCACTGTGGCAACCTGCCATGGTGACCATTGTCACTGGACAGAAATGACAGGAATAGAGTAAATGGCATTATCTTCCTTTTGATTTCAGATTACCTTTCAATTTCTGTAACATCTCTGGTACAAAAAGTGAAATCTTTCCAATGGGGACACAGTCAGCAGTAAAAAAAAACAAAAAAAAAAAACCTGACAGAGTCGGTATCATCTCTGCATTTTATCCAAATCAAATAAACGATTTTGGCTGGAATTCTACATTAAGCACACCTCTGCTTCACTGTGCAGGTTCACACACCATTACAGATGTCATCCATACAACTGAATGTTATTACAGTTCAGATCAGGGTTGACCAGGCTCCAACTCCAGAGCAGAACTCATATTTTTAGATAAACTCAACGGCTGGAAACGAGCAGGAGTTGTGTTGAAGCTGGAGCAGAGCTGAAATCAAAATAGGCTGAACTCCAAAGCTTGGAGTTGGAACTAATATTCTACAGCTGCTCCTCTCAATGCTTCTTTACATGACTGTCATACATTTAACTAACATAGATAAGAATTCAATGCATTTAGTAAAAGCAAATCAGTGGTAATTAAAGTGGAAGATAATAATTGGAGATACCTCCAATTTCCCCCCTCATCGTCTTTATGACATTCGCATACAAAAACACAGTCCTCACATAAAATGATCAAGGTGATTGTATTTGTTATTCACATATATACATGCTTAAAAAATGTGTTGCTAAAATGTAGGTTTTATAAGTGCTTTGCATGATATTGTGCATATATATAGCAAACCATATACTCATATGTTTATGTTTGGCAATACTAACAGTCATAATGAGCTGGGTAAAATAAGAGTAACAGAGAGCTAAAATACTTACCATTTGTACAAAAAATAAATACTGCTCCTCGCTCCCTCCAGTGCTGTTCATGTGACCAAAAACTCAGTTTGGTGTGATGACTCGCTGCCCGGCTTCCTGATTGGTCAATAACATGGCCAATGAGGAAGCCGGGCGCCGAGTCATTACCCCCCACCCCCCCGCCCCCCCGGCTTCCTGATTGGCCAGAAAGCTGGCTTCATGCTCCCTTGTCACCTGGTAACGAGGGAGCATGGAGGTGGCTTCCCGGCCAATCAGGAAGCCGGGCGCCGTATAATGACTCACCACCTGGCTTCCTGATTAGTTGAGAAGCTGGCCAATAAGGAAGCCAGGCAGCAAGTCCTTACCCGCCCACCAGCTGCCTGATTCGCCAGAATGCTGGCTCCATGCTTCCTCATCACCTGGTGACAAGGAAGCATGGCGACAGCTTCCCTGCTAATCGGGATCCCGGGTGGCGAGTATTTACATGCCGCCTGGCTTTCCTAATGGGACTTCCGATTTCGGTATTCAGTATCGGCGAGTACCGAAAAAAAAATATTGGTACTAGTACTCGATACCGAAAAAACGGTCTTGGTGCATCCCTAGTGTTTACATTAGAGGGCTGACAACCTGCCAAGGATCTGATGCACCAAAAAATGAAGGCTTCACACTGACATTTCAGGGCTGGCAGCTGATTCCTGTAGTTGAAAACCTGGTTACAGACAGCTGCAACTGCCCTCTGCCGCTCTTCACATGTATCAGCACATCCAGCAGTTACCTGCAGCTAGGGACAGATGACCAGCCCACGTAAATGAGACCTAATAGGAAAAGGACTAAGATTTCAATAACTGTGTTGTGAGGTTTTACATTTCTCCACAATGCTTACAAATACAGAGATGAATGAGAGCTTAATTTAAGGTATGCATTATCTGGGCACAGTTTCACTTCAAGCAAGGAAAGAGACTTTAAGCTGTGAGGCATGTATCTTAAAGGGACCATGTAACCTGGCCCATTCTGGGAAAGTTAAACCCACCCTCTGACTCACTTATATGTACCTTTACAGCACTACTCTCCTTCTTTCTTCTTCTGTCTCAGCCACAGCAAAATACCCAGTGATTCTAGGTACAGGGAAACATGCACTTCCTCCTACAATGCACTGCTCATGCCTACCAGCCAACTGCTAGGACCGAACACTGTCACATGGCAGAGGGGTTGATGTAATGGCTCGGTTTATGCTCCAACACCAGCACACACCTGGTATTTGTCAGTGGCTACAAGGAGGTAGGAGCATTGTGAAGTTTATTGTAACTTGATTGGGAAGGGCAGACATCCCGCTCCGGGAGTCTCCCGCTATTAGATAGCGTCTCCCGGCGCCCGGGAGAGAAACACTTTCTCCGCGAAAGGTTTACTCTGCTCTTTTTTTTCTGACATGGGGGTTGCCGTCAGTCAGGAAAAAAAAGAAAAAAACAGCATAGGAATGCATAGCTAGATTCATATTGGCTATTTCACTTTGCAATAGCCAATAGCAAATTAGCTATTGCACCTGCCCACTGCTGCTGTCAATAGGCAGAGGGGGACCTGAAGTTCTCCATCAGGTCCTCTTCTAGTGATTGACAGCAGCAGAGGACAGGTGCAAAAGCCAGCTTGCTATTAGATATTGCAAATTGAAATAGCCAATAGCAATCTAGCTATGTATTCCTATGCTGGTTTTTTTTTTTTTTATTCTGACGGTGGACCCCATGTCAAAATATTTATTTAAAAAAACCTGCAGATAGCAAAGAAGCAATTGCTTCCTGTGCTATCTGCCATCATCTCTTCAGGGGGGAGGGGGGGCAGAGGGCACCTCCCTGAAATGAGAAGGGCACCTCCTTGAAATGGCGTTTTTTCAGGTTGGGATCCCTGGAAGTGGGCTTTAAAGCCCAACTGAACTTTCAGTTAGATTGAGCTAAACACATTCCATGTGCATCAAAACAAAAGGTGTACAATACATAGTCTCACAGTTTTGCTTTTTTATAGCACCTACAACCTAGAGCAGCCACAGCCGCAGAGTAGAAAAGCCTGTAACTTTGCCTCTTTAAAACTCTTTAAAGTCAACAATGGCCTATCCTGACAGGTCCCTTCTAAATTAACAAAAGCATGCAGGTCCTTTAAAATAAGTTACAGCCTTTTTCTCTCCCTTTTTTCTATATGTCTACATAGGATCAGAGTTAAAGGAGAACTATGAGGTGAGTGATTTTCATTTACCTCATAGTTCTAGCCGACCTGTGACAATGAGACTGTCACAGGTCGGCTCAGTAGATCGGGAGGTGAGCGAACATATACCGGCGTTCGCTCACCTCTCGATCCTGTCACGGCTCTCTGCCGTGACAGGGGAGGGGCTGGATTCCCCCCCTCCCCGCTCCGATCCGCCAGCGCTGACTGGGAGGGGGCGGGTACAGCTGGCTCTGCCTCTAGATAGGCAGAGACAGCTGTCAGTCACGCAGCTGGGCGGATCCAGGCACAATTGTCGGGATCCGCTTCAGCTGCGGCGTCTCAGTATACAGCTCGCTACAGCTCGCTGTATACTGAGCCTAGGGTGACAGGAGGACGCTAGTTTATGTCCTCCCGTTACCCTAAGGAGAACTATGGGGAAAATACTTAACCCCATAGTTCTCCTTTAATGAACCATGTTATTTTGAGGTGTATTGATGTAATGCCAACACTAACAGGATGCAGTCAATGCATACTCAAATTAACCATTTAAAAAATATATGAACATATTTGTGCAACAATTACAACTTTATTGACCATTGTATCCCTCCCTGATCTAGCTATGGTGGTGCTACATAAACAGCAAAAAGGAGATCATGATATAGATGTTGTTGTAGTAGCACAGGACAGCTTTAGTGAGGATTTTAAACCAGAGCCATCATTTCTGAACTAGCTCTTATTCTGGAGCTGGGGTTTCAGGAGCCACAGGGAGCAAGAGCTGAGAGTGTGTTTAGGCTGGTGAGTAAGTTTGAAGGTGGAGGCCATCCTGGGCAGTATCTTACAGAAAGGGAGCACTGTCAATCCTAGTCCAGATGACTACATCAATGTCACCATAGCACCTAAGCCCAATCTACCATCAGGCCATTCCTCCACATCTATGTTTTACCTATAAATGTGTGTATCCCAGTTTTTTTTTCTTTTACTTTCCCTCACTGCCTCCTTCTAAAATTATGTGATATGATCAGAAGTGTACATTTTCATGTCAATTTGAATAACACAATTTTCTTACCATTATATAATGTATGTGTAGTCAAAAATCTACATGATTCAATATGTAGCAGCCCTTGGCCACACATGCACACTGTCCCCTGCTTTTTCTGATAGTCAGATCGATATTACTAGTAAAAGATACCTGGTTATCTGACCAGAAATACAGGTTAACCTTATTTCCTTCCATGGGCTGACAACACAGACACTGCTGCTTTGATATTATAACCAGGAGTGTCAATCCAAGTCCACGACTGCAATACAATGTGCCAATGTTGCCCAGGTCGACACAGTACAATCTTCTCATCTCTTGAATGCTACTGCACATGGGAAGAGTAATTCTGTGACTGCCTGCACATTATGGCGGCCCAGGAAGTGTCTGCAAAAAGCGATGATGTACTGCAGGAAGAAATAATGATTTAAAGGCCCTTTGCCTACTGATGAGGAAACCAAACATAGGGGCATATTTATAAAGCAGTGAATCTGAAATTCACCAACCATTCACTGCAGGTGTATCTTGATATTCACTGCTTTATAAACATGCCCCTTAGTGTTTACATTTGTATTTGAAGTAATACATTCTCAAACTTTTTTTCAGTAATGAATTCAAGTCATATGTACATTACCCAGTAAAGTATTTAGTTAAATCTTTGCCCCAGCAATTAGGGTCATCATGTTCCTCAACAGCTAGCTCCAACTCTCTCAGCTCAACTTCCCTGAACTTCATGTCAAGTACAACATCACAACGAACAGTGCAGTGGCGTCACAAGAGGGGTGCGGCCTGCACCTGGATGTTACCATTGGAGAGTGACACCAAAATGACTTACAGTCATTTTGGTGCGGGTGACACCCAGCCTCAGGACGCCCCTGGGACAGTGCAGTCTCCAGTAGCTGCTCATCCACTAGATTGGGGAAGGCAAGAGCAGGGAGCAGGGTAGTAACTTGCCTTGCTTTTGCTTGTGTGTTTGGGGAGATACACGCAGCTTACTAGCACACACAAGGGCGGCTCCATAGGTCCCTACAAGGGAAAGGAGCCACCCTAAAACAGAATATCAGGGCCAGTGCTCAGGGGACCAGCTAATTCTGCAGGAAGCTAAAATGTTTAAATATCAATTGCATTCATTGTAAGTAATTTAATCAAAACATTTTCACTTTAATATGACTTTAAAGTATTTTTTTGCCTTATCTCAATGCAAAATAAAATAAATAAATAAATAAACATATTTAGTACATCTCTGCAATACATGCACATTTCACCATGTTTTATCCCTTTAAACATGCTGCAGAAAAGTAACTGTTGATGTGCAATAGATAGTGTGCTTCTAAGTTCCTCTTTGACATAACCCCTTCTTGTCCACAGGCAGAGAGCACAGGAAGTTATCAGGTTACAAGATACTGGCACAATCAGCGAGTACATTTTGCACTTACTGCACACATGTAACAAAAAACGTTCAGTATATTCAGCAGGCCAAAAGGGGGCAAATCAGAAAAGTTTATGGTTAGAGGTTACATACAACTTAAGGTAATCTAACAAACTACAAATTGAGAGTTTAGATCTCATTTAAATTAGATGTATAGCCAGAACATTTTTTTTTTTGCGTTTTGGATAGTGTCCCCACTGGGTAGATGCCCCCTCCCTGTTTGTTCCCGTGACCACTGACTATGGATTTGTTACCAGAACAGAAAGTGAGGGTAAATCTTCCAATGGGGACACCTTTCTGGTGACAACTGTGTAAGAGGCATTTCCCTCACTTTGTAGAGTAGTCTCCTCTCCTGAACAAAAAGTGAAATGGCAACAAAAAATAAAAACATGGGTTCTAACTCTTTTCCTGCCAACCATTCCAACAATGTGCCCTGAAACATATTTGTTTTGGTATTTTGTATTGGAATTTAAGTAAACTATTGGCACTCCTTTATATGCATAGTGCTTGAACCTTTTTATATTGTGTAAGATATAAATACTAGTGTGTTATCATGTGGCTGTTATTCAGGTCATCCTCTCTACCACCTCTGGACTGGCCACTGCCCAGTCAGTTTGAAGGTTTAGAACTAAGAATAGAAGTGCAACCAAGAACCCATCACCGAGCCCATTATGAAACAGAAGGGAGCAGGGGGGCAGTGAAAGCTTCACCTGGGGGACACCCAATTGTCAAGGTAAGAGTTAAATAATACAAGCGATTTACTTTTTTTTCACTTTTTGAATGAATATAAAAATAATAAAGCTTTTAATTGCAAAGATTGTCAGGAATATCTGTATGTACGTTGTGATGTTTGGGGAATTAGCTGGACCGCAGGACCCGAACAAAGGGAAATATACACTTCTCCCAGGACCCATCTTCTGGCGTCCTGTACAACGTCAATATGTAAAAGCTATGTGAACTATAGAAGTCTACGCTTTTGAAAGTGTGCATTTACTATAGCTTGTGTAATAGTGCTGTGTCATGCTTGATGGCACATGAAATATTGAAACCATTTCCTCCAATCTTCCACATTTGCAGTGAATACTGTACTGTATAATAGGCAGGAGAATGAGGCAGACAAGGAAGGCACAATGCACCAAAATAAAATAAATAAAAAGAAAGATGATTTCAAATTCAGAACTGTGTTTAACTTATCTAATTAGGAAAGCAAACAGCAACGCTATAGTGCATTCATCATAACATAGAGCCTTTATCCAAACCTATCAAGCAAGCCAGGAGATGCAGAAAAGACAATAAAAGAAATCTAATAATTAGGGGTATTACACCCCTAGATGGTGCTGATGAGTATAGGAATTTCTATGCTCAGCAGCGCAATCTAGGGATGCAAGTAGGGTGCGTATGGCATCCGCCCAGCATATAACTTTTATAAATTGACCCCATAATGATTGATGGTTAAACAAAAAAAAAGCCCATTTGTTTAATGAAGTAACCATGTTGGACTAAAAAAATCTGAAAATGCCCTGCAATAGAAGAGGTAGTATACACACCTCAACATTGGACTAAGCCTCCTACCTTTGTTCCATTTCAATGCTGAAGCCTCTGCCAGGCTCTGCACACATGTAACAAAATACATTCTATGGTATATTTCACAGGCTAAAAGGGAGCAAATAGGAAAAGTTCATTGTTAGAGGTTACATACATTGTTAGCGGTTAACCTTAAGTTAACAAACTAAGCATTGTTAAAGGGAGTTTACATCTACTTTTCAGTATATGTATTGTCAACTGGGTAGATTCACCCTCCTCATTTGCCCTTGGGACCACTGACTGACTGACATGTTGGACTCTAATAAAGCTAAAAGTTCCCTGCAATAGAAGAGGTAGTATACACACCTCAACGTTGGTCTGGGCCTCCTACCTTTTGTTCCATTCCAATACTGCAGCCTCTGCCGGGCTCTTTAGCATTCAACATTTCTAGGAGTGCCAGATGCTTGTGTCCCCCCGCCATGCACTGTTTTTTTTCCTCACAAGAAACAGCAGTGACATATAGTTAGGAAGATAGAGCCATATCTGTGCCTCGTGTTTTTAAATTTCGTGTCTGTGGAGGTAGCTAAATGTCTACTTACTGACAGCTCTTTTTTGCCAGTTCTTTTCACCTGGTACGTGCCAATCTGAGATATTGAGGTCTGTAACCAGCAGGCTTCTTACAACAAAGGGGAACCTGAAAAACATGTGATAAGAGCCTAAGCCTCCACTTGCTGACTGGAGAGAGGATTACACTAAATTCAAATGAAATATTGTATATTTACCCAGCTTAATAAAAAATGTATTTTATATAGTCCTAAAGAAATAAATATGTACCAAACCAATATAAGTAGTTATAAATAGTTTGCAGTATGTTAAAAGCATAGAAGCAAACGTATGTCACATATCTAGAAGGCCCAGCTAGTAATGTGGTTGGGGGAAGGCTGTAGCTCTGTATAGCTCATTGGGTGACTAGATGTTTCCCAGCTGTTTTCCTTTCTTCTCAGCTTTCCCACGCTGGCTCTCTTCCTTAGGCTAAAGGATCTGACTGATGTTCTGCGTCTTCCTGTATCTGTACATTTCCCGAGGTTGGTTTACTAAAGGAGTAATTTCACACTGGTCAGTGTGTACTTCACATATCCAATCAGGTCCAGGAGACTTGAAATACAGAAAATTTGCCTGAAACTGATAGTGGCTACATTAAGAGAAACCAGATTGTGAGGAAGATTATTCCTTTTGTAAATCATCAGATTTTTGAATGGAATCTACCATCATCAAAAGATCTCTTGAGCAGACAACAATTCAAGTTGACATCAGTGTCCAAAAGTTACAGTGTAATATGAAAGTCACTACTAGGGCTCATTCTCACATGCGCAGAGGTGCATACAGCATGCAGAAGGACTTGGTTATGTGCCAGGGAGGTTGTGCATCTGTTCCTGTACACATGTGTGCAGAAAGATGCGTACAGCCGCTGTGTGTGTCAGCCTGTCACTGATTTTTGACAGGCTGCTGCACAGAGAACCCATGACCTGTAAAAAAAAAAAATAGTGGTGCATGTATTAGTTTTTTTCACCACAATGCAATGCACAGTATAATGCTACCACCAGGAAGGAAGTGCATTGGGGTGGCATTCAAATAAACAGCAACAGCGTACCTAGCATGCACTGCGTCTTAGTGTGCGCTAAACGCACTGCTACTGTGCGTTTAGCTCAATACTACGGTGTAAACCGTCTCTTAAAGTAGAAGTGACATAATCACTGCGATGCACATAGCCTGTCCCAGCGGTTCTCTCTCCCACTATAGGCTGCTGGTAGAAACCTACAGGGGGGCGGATACAAGACCAGTCGCCCTGCACAGAGAGACAGCAGCACTGACCGGTTTGTATTACAGGAAACTCCTGCACAATGCAAAGTGCAGAAATTGTATCTCATGGCAGTGTTAGTTTGCGAATTGGAACATTGCTTCCTTAATTTGCATGGAAGACAGGAAACAGTAGGTTCACTAAATGGAGATAGTTTAGAGGGTGGAAGGGAGTAGAAGTGGAGTGTTTCTCTAAAATTAGATCCGGACTTTGGAAGATTTTTCCATTTGTGCATACAGTATGTTACATAAAAAAAAAAAACACTTTGTATGCTGTGGTTTCCTGGAGCAAAGACGTCATGCCATTTGAAAAACAGCTTATGTATCATACTTCTTAAAGAAAAACTGTCCTGAAAAATATGCAGGCTGCCTTTGCTGAATTCTTTTATTGAAAATACTTGGAACAAATAGGCAGCTCATAAGTTCTGACATTAATTTGACTTTGCCTGTTGCATGCTTGTTCCCAGATGGTGACTTATAAAAAAAGAAGCTGGAGAATGCCAGGTGTACTGTTACAACAGTTGTATGAAAACATGACAATGCATAGCCATGGGTAATATTTATATTAATGTGAAGTGAGAATTACATAGTTACATTCCTTAAAGGAGAACTATTTCACTCATCCTCATAGTTCTAGCCGACCTGTGACAATGAGACTGTCACAGGTTGGCTCAGTAGATCGGAAAATGAGTGAACACATACCGGCGTTCGCTCACTTCTCGATCTTGTCACGGCACAGAGCCGTGACAGAGGGACTGGATTCCCCCCTTCCCGCTCCGATCCTCCAGCGCTGACTGGCGGAACGGACGGGGGAGGGGGCGGGTACAGCTGGCTCTGCCTCTAAATAGGCAGAGCCAGCTGTCACTCACGCAGCTGGGCGGATCCAGACATAATTGTCGGGATCCGTTTCAGCTGCGGCGTCTCAGTATACCGTGAGCTGTAGCTCGCGGTATACTGAGCTTAAGGTGACGGGAGGACGCTAGTTTGTGTCCTCCCGTTACCCTTAGGAGAACTATGGGGAAAAGCCCATAGTTCTCCTTTAAGCCATTGTTCATTGGCATCAGTATAGCTGGTTCATATACTGCCATCGTGTGGTCATTTTGGTTATTGCACCTCGTTTTCTCTATTCCCTCCCCTTGTGTGTGATGTACTGGCCTTCTTTTCCAAGTTGTTCTCTTGGCATCAGAATGGCTGCTTGTGTCATGGCCACATGTTAATCTGCTCGCATGGGGGGAAACATTACCATGTTTTGACCTGCAAATACTGTCTTTCTAATCATCTGTTGCATCCTGTTGTCTGCTGTAACCTGCTGCACTTAATAAAGATCTTCGTGGATGAAAAGGTATTTGGTGAGTTCAGCGATCTGATAAAGACTGTCCGCGGTGATTATATCTGCTTATACAGGCCAGGCATAAGAGATCTCAGCAAGGCCTATATTACTCATACAACGGTTGGAGTCAGAATACCAGGCTGCTAGCATTTTTAGAAGGAGATTAACAATGGGAGCCTTAATAGTTCTCTCCATACTGGTTTGCTTTATATTTGTATTTCATTATTTTTTTTACTTTAACTGGAAGTAATTTTGGATCTAGTTTTCACATAATTATATGCTTACTGTGTCATATAGGTTGCAGGGTTTCCCCACAGAGTGACTGAATAAGGGAGATGGGTACCAATAATTAGCATCCTTTCTGAAATGCTTCTGGAAGAAATGATGGAGAGGCTCATTAAAGAGGACCAGTCACAACTGGGCTCATATAAGTTTATTTTTATATAGTCTTAAATGACATCATAAAGCATATCATCTATAAAGGTGCTCTGTACGCAGACTGTATCTGAACCAACCTGTCTCAGTGTGGGACTGATGTTTACACAGAGATGGTAGTGCTGGACAAGGCTAGTCAGTTGGGAGCAAGCAATGGTACCGAGTCTTTTTTCGGTGAACAAGTGTTTGTAGGTCATTACCCATGCAGGGCAAGGAATCAAATTAATTTTAACGCCAGTATATGCAGCTGCCTATACTTATGTTTCTTTTGCTCCCCTGCCAATCTGTTCACCCAAAAGAGAGGCGTGACATACCTGGTACATTGTAATATGGAGGAGCATCTGACTCCCTGCCTATCCTTTTATATGACATATTAACGGAATTTCGTATTTCGGATATAATTCGGAAACTGCAATTCGGATTTCGGATGCTTCCGAATTTACGAATTTCAGGAAAATTCGTACGAATTTCGATTCGTAACGAAACGAATCGCACATGTCTAGCCAAGGGATGAACTAAAAAAGAACTTTTCAATTAGGGGGTCAATTGTCCTTTAAGTTATTATAATATATTATATTATATTAAATAGTTCTGCTCATTTTGTCTGAATGAAACACTTTTAGCTATAAAATGTGTGTGTTTAACATAAGGTTGGCAGGTTAGCAACAGTCATTTCTCAGGGGGCTTTCCAGCACACATGCTGGGATTGTATATTGAGCTATGCACGAGCAGCTCAGTGTAAAGTGGGAACGGTTTGTGAGTACGAAGGTGTGATTCCTTTAGGCCTTGTTCACACCAAATGCAGAGCAGTTTTGATCCGGTCTGCAACTGCTCTGCTCTGCACCTGCTCCGCGCGTGGTGTGAACAAGGCCTTATTGCAGAAAAAAAAACATAGTATGAGGTGCAATTATAAAGAATTTGCAGAGCTAAACGCCCTGCGAAATTGCATGTACATTTGTTGTGTGTGAAACGGGGCACAAATGAATGTTTTTAATATATTTTTGAATGCAATATCTGGAAAATACTGCATTACAACCACTAGATGGAGCGCCTATTTCCTACACTCCTCAACACCATCTAATGGCCATAATGCAGCATTTACCTGAAATCACATTCAACCTGGAAAGAAAATATGCAAATAACATTCCTTTTTGCTTTTATTTGCACAGAACAAACGTACATGCAATTTCGCAAGGTGAATGTTCCTGCCAATTTATTATACACTCTTAGTCTCAATAGTCTTGTGCAATAAAAAACCTTCCTGCTCACAAATTTAAAAACCTGCATAAAGTTTTGCTTTAAATTATTTTGCAATAACATATTATGCAACACTAAAACAAAACCTGAGAATGTACTTTTATTCACATCTGCCTCCATCCCAGCAGAGTTTGCTATTCAGTTTTCCTGCCACAGACAGAAAAACACGCACTTCAAGGCCAATTTGGTGAGAAGCCCATTAACCTACCAGCATGTTTTGGATTGTTGGAGGAAACCAAAGCACCCAGAGGAAACCCACATGAACACATGGAACATATACAAAGTCCACACAGACAGCAGCCTGGTTGGAATCAATCACAAAGCTCCAGTTCTGAAAGACATCAATGCTAACCACTAGGAAAGATTAGCTGATGTGATCCTTTCTACCACTTTTTTATGGGATGACCATATTCTTGCATTTTTTTAGTCTACATATGAAATATTGCGGGAAAACAGGGTTGTATTTCCACTTTGCACAGCAGTTATGCAATTAAACAGAAATTAACATCTGTGTTCTGAACTTCTGTTTCAAAGGAAATATGAGATATAAAAAAATTTTTTGTTGTACTTTAAAGCTGAACTCAATAGAAACAACAAAACTACACTTGGAGTGGGGCTCTCTTTGCATTGCAAGCGTTAAATGCCCATTTTTGTCCAACTTACCTTAAAAATCAGTTTTACTTACCCTTGCTCCCCCACCAGCTGGTGTATTCCTCTTCCCTCCGATGCTCTAGGTTGTGGGCAAGCTCTCGGTGTCCTCACCTACAATGCAGGACTGCTGGCCCAGCATTGTACATGATGACATCAGAGTGCAACCAATGAACAGAGCACGCAAGAGATGTAGTTTTGGAGGGTTGTCACATGTAAAGAAGGAGCCTGCAGGGATGAATGATAATGTACTGTAAGTAAAATTGCTTCTTTTAATCCTTTTCATGACTAGAGTTTTTCTAAGCCTAAACGCTCAGACCAAATTTAGCAGCATTGGTATGTGTCATTTGATATTAAAGTGACGCTAAACTCAGGAGTTAAATCTTAAAAATGCAATCAAGTACCTTAACCATGAACAAAAATGTATCTTGGTGACCACCTAGTAACCACCTTAGTAACCACCTCTCCAAGCTCACTCCCATGATGGACTACTATCTCATGTTTAGTTAGCTAATCTGTACTCAAGGTATAGTCCATCACGGGATTGAGCTTGGAGCAGTGACTACTTTACAACACACATAGGGACCATGGGGAACAAAAGTAGTCACCCTCCAGAAGAAAGTACAGTATCAGCACCAATTCAGAGATGATTTGAGAATCAGCTGAGAGATACATTTTTGCTAATAGTTAGGGTACTTGAATACATTTTTAAGGTTAACCTCCTGAGTTTAGTGTCACTTTAACTCTATGGCAAATGTTTCTGATTGACAGCAGGTCTGAGAACTAAGAGTACAAACACGGCTGCACAATCCTAATTCTCTAGTGCAAGGATATTTAACATTCTCACAGCAAGGGACATTTTACATTTGGACTTGGAATAAACTCGTATTGTGGTCATAAAAGGTTTAAGATACCCTAGACAAAACCTTGTTCATTCAAGGTGGAGCCCCACTGCAAGGGTAGTTTTGTAATTTGCCTAGAGTTCAGCTTTAAGAGGCTATAATTGTAAAGGTAGCCTACACATGGAAAATTAAGTTGTCCTATTTGATTCCCTGCAGCTTATAGGATATAATGAGAAGCCACTGACCCTCCAGATGTTTATTGGAACAGCGGATGAGCGTAACCTGAGATCTCACGCCTTTTACCAAGTTCATCGCATAACAGGAAAAATGGTGGCTACACCCAGCTATGAAGCTCTTGTAGGAAGCACCAAAGTTCTGGAGATGTCCCTTTTGCCTGAAAACAACATGTGTGCCAAGTAAGATGCATGGCAACATACAGTGGAAACACTGGACTTAAAAAAAACAGATATTTTTAATTAGTAGAATAAAATGGGGGCTCCTTGATCTATTAGGAAATGATGCCTTGACTACAGGAAGCAAGGCAGGATGAAGGTTGGTCCTACCTAAAATTGACCCCCACCCATCTATACAATATTAGTGTTTTACTATTGCCTGTGCTCACTGTTTGTGTGTGGGGGGTGGACAGGTTGTAGCTACATTCAAAGTGGAGCTAAACCCACCAATTTAAAAGAGAACTATGGAGTAACCTTTTTATCCCACAGTTCTCTTTAGGGTAATGGTAGGACATATACTAACGTACTCCCGTGACCCAAAGCTCAGTATATAGCAGGCTATTGCCGCAGCCCAAAGACAGATCCTAACAATACTGTTGAGATCCACCCAACTGGCTGATTGATAGCGGGCTCTGCCTATATAGAAGCAGAGCCAGCTGTACCCGCCCTGTACCATTCTCTGCAGGGAGATGATTGGGAAGTGAGCGAGCGACGGTATGTGTTCACTCACTTCCCGAATTACAGAGCCCACCTGTGACAGCTTCACACTACGGCTCTAACTATGAGGATGAGTGTAAATCACTCACCCCATAGTTCTCCTTTAACTGTTTTCCAAAACAGACACATCCATGGAATCCCTCTAGTGATAATTGTCAAAGTGCACCATGGCAACTGCAGATCTAACCAGAGGCTAATATGGTGCCATCATTGGCTGTAAAAAATAAGAGGCTTTAATTCCACTTTAAGGGGTGGGGAGTACTGACCTGAAGCTGCACCAGGCACCAGGAATCACACGGTTTCTCTTGCTGTTCCAACTTTATTAAGGATTTTACCATCCCAGAGTTTAAATACACCCTGTGAGTTTGGTTAGTCAGATGCCTATCTTGAACTTGTGGTTAAGACAGGTGGTTATGTGATGATAATTAGGGGCTCACAGTTTATTTCTGACTGGCACCAAGTTCCTTTTAAAGTACATCAAAAGGCAAATCTTTTTTTTTTTTTTTTGGTTAGCGCAGTGGGGGGTAACTATTGTCTCTGAGGCTGAAAGTAAAGGACAAATCCCAAATTTTGAATTGGCATCAGAACAGGAATAGAGGGGTAATCATCCAACAGGCACACTTCTTCTGGTGACAACTGTCTAATTGGAAATCTCTAGAATGGGACACAGCAAAGAATCTGACAGGGGTTTAATTCTTCTCTACTCTATCATTACAAGAAAAAGCTGAACTCCAGGAAAGATCTTTTATGGATAATTACATTGGTCCAGCTTGGCTCAATTTCAGTATCTATAACTGATCTCAGGAGGGCCGCTGGGGTTCCTAAAAATCACTTTATTAGCCAGCACTACATATACTCAACGGTGGACTCTTCTGGCTTCAACTCCAGTGGCTTCCCCTCTGCTCTGAAAACACAGGTAGTCGCTTGCTGAGAAACGCTGCCATGCAGAGAACTCTTGTATTTTTTTCAATGCATACATGGCATACTATGATGCGTCGATTGGAGAGGAGGGATGGCTGACATCAAGGGCTGACATCAAGATCTCCACCTCGTCCAGCCAGAGAATGGCTTGTGCTCAGTGTACAAAGAGGAAGCCACTGCAGCCGTAGCTGGAAGAGACCAGCGCTGACTATATGTAGCACTGAATAATAAAGTGAATTTAGCATCCCCAACGGCCCAGAAAATCCATGTTTTAGTATCCATAAAACATAATTCCTGGAGTTCAGCTTTAAATGTAATGTAAATCTAATATGTTGGTTTGCTTGTAAGCTGCAATACAAGTTGCTGTTTTTACCAATAAGGCTACGACCTTGCACTTCCAACACAGCAACCACTCTAATGTTATTTGGCAGAAAGGCATATGAAGTCTTTCTGGGGACTGAGAACATGCCTCCCAATTTTCTGAGATGAGAAAGAGGAAAGAGGGACACCTTCTAGCACAATCGTGGGAATTTATCAAAACTGGAGCAGACAGAATCTGGGTCATTTGCCTATAGTAATCAATCAGCTTCTCTCTTCAGTTTGTTTCGTTAAGCTTTGAAAATGAAATATAGAAGCTGATTCTGTGTGCTCCAGTTTTGATACATTCCCCACCCCCAGTTTATATAGGCAATAACTGCCATGCCCCTAGTTATACGGACCATTAAGAAAGTATGAGACAAATATGATTGGTTCAAGCTATAGTTGTTGTTTTTTTTTCTTGATTACTTTTCATTTATACTGACTTTGCCAAATTGCAAACCAGATAATTGGGAGATAGGATTAAGGTTTTAGTGCATAATAACACATTTGGTATTTAAATAGAACCTTTTGATAGACATCTGTACATCAGACCAATAAGGCCGACAACTGAGAAGGAAAGAGGGATTTGGTTTCACAAGAGGAACAATTGGGAGGTATGTGTGAATCTGTGGATATCTTATGCCTATGCTTCTCAGCAGTCAGGACATGACTATAATGACTACAATTATATAAAAATATCAGTTATTTTAAAATAAACCTTTTTTTCATGATACATATAGCAACCAATAAAAGAGTTTGAGTGGTTGCTAAGAGCACCAGAAACAGATCTTTTTTTCATATACATCTATAAATATGCGTCTTGAAGTGATGCTGTAAATGACTGATAAATATGTCTATGTTCCAGTATAGACTGCGCCGGAATTCTAAAGCTCCGAAATTCAGACATTGAGCTCCGGAAGGGTGAGACAGACATTGGCCGAAAGAACACGCGTGTTCGACTTGTGTTTCGTGTGCATATTCCACAGGGTGGTGGGAAAGGAGTTTCTCTACAAGTGGCGTCTGTACCTATAGAGTGCTGTAAGTAAAACTAATGATATTCTGTTACAGGTCTATCCTTGCCAGTATTCTAATAATCCATAGTCATGCCAGTTTTACAGTATGCAACCTGCATGCAACCTGTAAAAAGAGGGCATTTTTTGAGAAATAGGTCTACCATCCTTTTTCAACCGTTTGCCTAAGAGGAACCCCTAAACATAAGAATGAAATCTCCTACACCACACTCACCGCTTCCCCAAACACTATCACACTAGGCTCTGTTTGCCATGTGTATGGCTGTGTTAATGTAGATGCAGCTCTAGTGTACAGTATATAAAAACGAATAGGGGATGTGCAGTATATGTGAAAGCTGAATCTCAAGTTCCATTTGTGCATTTTATACTAGATAATATCATTTTCTGCCATGTGGTTTGGAGAATTCAGAAAATCCCAAATATCTCTCTCTATCATGTTGTTTATGCTGCATGATCCCTTTTTACTGCAGTATAGTTATAGTAAATGATTGTCCAGAATGCCTGGGTTTTTCAGAAATAGGATCTGTTTGATGTATGGAGCACTATAGGGCTGATTTACAAAAACTGCAGCTAAAGCAGTTCACAGCAAAAAGTAAATTTGGACCTGTAGATGGCTTCCATACAGCCAGTAAATCTGTTTTTCTAAAAGCAATTTTCATCATAATTTTTATAAAAACATGATTTTTGTTTAAGGACATCTGTATTAAGTGAAATGCATAGGCTTTAATTGCTAACTTTCTTCTTCAACAGAAAAAAAAAATTACCACACCATGAAATTCATACCAGCAACATGTTCCTGTTCAATAACAGGATGCAATTCCACAGTCATTGGCTGGTCAATTAATTTAAAGCCTGGACAGACTGATCCACTGGCTGATGTTGACTGTATGGTTTTGGCACAAGAACTATGCATTCACAGTTGACTGTCAGATATAACTATTAAGGTACTTCCTTATATTGATGGTCAGGGGTTGATGTAAGTGGTCACTTACCTGACTACTGATCCCACACTGCTGGCTCTTGCATTGACGTCGGCCGATTGCTGGTGCCAGTACTCATAAAAGTTGTCCTGTACAACTATATATAAGTTGTAGCAAAACTTTGCAGTTGTTTACCTTCTAATGGCTGCTCTACTCAGTTGATTAGAGTAGTGGCAGATAAAGATAATATTGGAAACCAGGAGACCAAAGTGTGGAAAATTATCTTTTTTTGAATTTGAAACAGAATGTGATAACTATTATATTAGACCTTTACCTTTAAACACCCAGACCATTACCAACATTAAAACTTTAACCAAACCATGTGCTCAGTCCTTATGAACTTAAAGTGACATTAAACCCTCAGATTTTTTAACATAAAACCAATACTGTAATGTGTGCCTTACTGTAATCCAAGGTAGTTTCCCTTCTCTTTGCTGCTCTTCCTTTTAAATCTGTATCTCTTCTCATGCTGGGCAGAACTTCTGTTTTGCAGCAGACTGCCTTGTCTCTGAAATGGATACATGGTGTCTGTGTGCAGGTTAACAACCTGAGCCAGCACTACAGGAAGTGGCACTCAGCTGCAAAGGGAAGTTCTCCCCCAGCATGAGAAGACATGATGATTTAAAAGGAAGAGCAGCAAAGAGAATGGAAACTACCATGGATTACAGTAAGGCACACATTACAGTATTTGTTTATGTAAAAAAATCTGAGGGTTTAATGTCACTTTAAATATAATGTAACTGTACCATACCACCCGTTACCACTAAAAGCGATGGCCACCTGTAAACGTGGGTAACAATAGCTCAGTCTTTATGGACTTGAGCACCAAGTATCTGTATCTGACCACCAGGTACCGCCAGAAACACTGTCCACCCAAAAAGGTGGGTGGCAATAGCTCAGTCTTTATGAACTCGAGCACCAAGCAACTTTACCATACCACCAGAAACACATACAGAGGTGAGTGACAATGCCCTCAATAAACTTGAAGCTGTTACAAAGGAGGGAAGGGAGGAAAATAACAGCCAGATTGAATGTCCAAACTATTCCAAAACCACAGATGTTGCAGACTAATAAATAAACTTACATTATATAAAACAAAATATTTTAACGACCAAACTGGTTTCCAAAAATGGCAATGCAAAGTTCCATAATTCTAAAAATGAAATATGGTTCTTAAGCACCAAAGAGGAATTTCTGAAGCTATGAATAAAAACTGGTATATTGCGCTTAAATAGTGTTAAAACTAATTCTTACTGGCCAACAGAAATGGCAGAAAGGGAAATAAAAAAGGCATATCCTTCCTGTGGCCCAGTGTTCAGAGGCAGCACTGCGGTAACTGTCAGCAAAAAGAAAACTTAAAGTACCAACCTGTTTATTGTCCATAATTGGGCCTAAAATGATCGGTTACACAAGCAATTAAAGTAAACCTGACATAAAAATTAAATTCCAA